GTTACAATGTAATGAGCCTGGGTGTTGCAAGTGGTTTGCGATGGGCTCCTGACCCAACCGTTGGTGGCTCGAGCCCCACCCAGGGGCTTACAGACTCCTTTCGTAAAGATTACAGCCCAGAAAACCCCACGGAACAGTTGTACTCTGTAACACGCCGGGTTGCCATGAGTCGGGGGCCCACCTGACTGCAGCTAATAACGAAAACAACGTCTCACAACGTGGTGTGTACATTTAGCCTTATTCCTGTCTCCACGTGTCCTTCACCAATGTTTTGCCATCCCCTTTATGCATGCTACCTTTCCCACGTTTTGTGTATCCATTTACGGTAGCCAGTCCAAAATACTTTATAAAACAAGGTGGGGTAGAAACAAACAAATCTTGCAATAGAATATATTTATTGGAATGAATACCCCCAAAAATCAACCGGTCAAAGTCCCTGACTCTGGCCAGTAAAACCTCAATCGCTTAAAAGAGATTATTGTCTATTCCCAATTTTCAGATATGCATGGATGAAGAGTTCGGAGATTTTCCCGGTTCTTTGCCCAGTCTTTAACATTTGAACTTTCTTATGATACAGTTCAAGCCAAATACTCTGTATTTGTTCCTCTGTGGGAAACGAGCACTATACTTCATTCATACAACCAAGACAAATAAAAATAAATAAAATTCTTGGTCTCCACCAGTTGAACAATGCCAACTCTAAACGACTTCACACAAAATCCACTTTTGCTCTGCTCTGAAGATAATCTGCAGAAACGCTTAGCAGTATTTACTAACTTTTCAAACAAGTATTACAAACTATGTTGTTTCTAGCTGCTGTGCAGTCGGCCCCGACTCATGATGACCCCACATACAATGGAAGGAAACCCTTCTAGGTCCTGTGCCCTCCCCACGACGAGCTGCAATGGACCTTTGTGATCCATAGGGTTTTCGCTGGCTGGTTTTCAGAAGCAGATAGCCAGGCCTTTCTTCCTAGTCCATCTTAGTCTAGAGGCTCTGTTGCAATCTGTTCAGCATCCTAGCAACGTGCAAGCTTCCGCTGACAGACCAACGGTGGCTGCATGTTAAGATGATTAATCAGGGGTCAAACTCAGGTCTCCTGCGGGAAAGGTGAGAAGTCTACCACCGAACCACCACCAAATCTATAAATATATCAACACCAGAATGCTTAGGAAATGAACTCCATGTTCTTTTCAAATCCTCCCTTTGACATAACTCTTGAGTCACAGATGGAAGCTAAGGACCTTTTCCATAGAAAAATGCACCAATGACCCACAATATTGCTTATATGCAGTTTAATAAATCCCCTCATCTAAAGCTAGCCTAGGCATGCAATGACGCCAGGTTTGTTAAGAAACTCTGTTCAATGGATGACACCCGCCTTCTTCTCCTCCTCAGAGACTTCTCAGCCCTCAGTTTGTCTCTTACTTTAATGGTTAAATACTTGGCAAACTGCATGTGGATGAATTACTGATTTCCTGGGCTACTTTTAATTCTTATCTATCTAGATCAAATGAAGAACACAATGGTTAAAGCTTAATCGATCACGTTACAAGGGAAATTTACTAAATAACAATAATTATTTAGGAGACATTATAGTATGGTCTCCTAAATATGGCACTGAAGTAGAAGTGGAATATTCCAGTCACTACATAGGGGATTAAAATGTTATATCAAGAGTACTTAACAGATCAATATGTCAGGACTAATGAGTACCTAGGTCATTGAATCAAGACATATATGAAATATTAAGCAGGCTTACCAAGGTAAATGCATCTAAACTCTTTTTTACGTGGTTATTACTTTTGCCTTCACTTTACATATTATCAAAGCATTTAAACTGATCTATCTTTAGTTTTGGTTAAGGGTAACCTAAAGGCTGGCTGTTCCTGTCTACCCAGATGTGCCTCAGAAGAAAGGCCTTGGTGATCTACTTTCAAAAAAACATCAGTCATTGAAAACCCTATGGAACGCAGTTCTACTCTGACACACGGGTCAGAATTGACTCCAGGACAACTGGTTTTTCAGGTTTTTTTTAATCTTTAGTTTCAGCAGTAGAATCCTCACCATCCATGTGGGAGACCCTGGTTGAATTAATGGTTAATGTACCTCACGCGCAGCCACCAACCATCTGTCAGTACCGTCGGAATCGACTCAACGTCAACAGGTTGTTTTTTGGTACAATGCTGAACAGATTTCAGCAGAAGTTCCAAAACAAGATGGGCTAGAAGGGAGGCCTGGTGATCTACTTCTGAAAATCAGGTCAAATAAAATCCTATGGACCACAATGGTCCCATCTGCAACCAATCAGGAGAATGGCACAGGACCAGGCAGGGTTTTGTTCCACTGTGCATTGTGTGGGTCACCATAAGTAGGGGTGGGCAACATGAGAGCAGCTGACAATAATACTCTATAGTTTGTAGATCATAGGATTTACTTTAGCCACCAAATAAGATGGGTTAGGGTTAATTGGAGTATGTTAACATTAAAAAAAAAAAAAAAAGTTGGACATTCAACCATTTCAGGAGGCAGCATAAGATCAGGAACCGATGGTGCTGAAGGAAGACGTCCAAGCCGCACCGAAGGCACTGGCGAAAAACAAGGTTCCAGGAATTGACGGAATACCAATTGAGATGTTTCAACAAACGGAGGCGATGCTGGAAGTGCTCACTTGTCTAATGCCAAGAAATCTGGAAGCCAGTTACCCGGCCAGTCAACTGGAAAAGATTCATATTTATGCCTATTCCCAAGACATGGGACCCAACAGGATCCGGAAATTATCGAAAAATTATCATCGAAACCATACACAAGTAAAATGTTGCTGACGATCATTCAAAACTGGCTGCAGCAGTATGTCAACAGGGAACTACCAGAAATTCAGGCCAGATTCCGAACAAGATGTGGAACCAGGAATATCACTGCTGATGTCAGATGGCTCCTGACTGAAAGTAAAGAACACACTGAAAGATGTTTACCTGTGTTTTATTGACTATGCAAAGGCATTTGACTGTGCGGATCGTAACAAATTATGGGTAACATTGCAAAGAATGGGAATTCCAGAACACTTCATTGTGCTCATGAGGAACCTGTACATAGATCAAGCAGTTGTTTGAACAGAACAAGGGGATACTGTGTGGTTTAAAGTCAGAAAAGCTGTGTGTCAGGGTTGTGTCCCTTCAACATACACATTTAATCTGTATGCTGTGCAAATAATCCAACAAGCTGGACTATATAAAGAAAAACATGGCATCAGGATTGGAGGGTCATTAACAACCTGTGATGTGCAGATGACACAACCTTGTTTGCTGAAAGTGAAGAGGACTTGAAGCACTTACTGATGAAGATCAAAGACCACAGCCTTCAGTATGGATTACACCTCAACATAAAGAAAACAAAAATCTTCACAACTGGACCAATAAGCAACATCATGATAAAAGGAGAAAATACTGACGTTGTCAAGGATTTCATTTTACTTGGATCCACAATAACACCCATGGAAGCAGCAGTCAAGAAATCAAAAGACCCATTGCACTGGGGCAAATCTGCTGTGAAAGACCTCTTTGAAGTGTTGAAAAGCAAAGATGTCACCTTGTAGTGACATCTAAGGTGTGCCTGACCCAAGCCATGGTATTTTCAATCGCCTCGTATGCATGTGAAAGCTGGATGATGAATAAGGAAGACTGAAGAAGAACCCACGCCTTTGAATTGTGGTGTTGGCGAAGAATATTGAATATACCATGGACTGCCAAAAGAATAAATCTGTCTTGGAAGAAGTACAACCAGAATGCTTCTTACAAGTAAGGGTGGCAAGACTAAGTCTCACATTCTTTGGGCACATTACCAGGAGGGACCGGTCCCTGGAGAAGGACATCATGCTTGGTAACGTACAGGGTCAGCGAAAAAGAGGAAGACCCTCAATGAGATGGACTGACACAGTGGCTTCAACAACGGGCTCAAGCATGGCAAAGACTGTGAGGACGGCACAGTGTTTTGCTCTGTTGTACACAGGGTCGCTAGGAGTTGAATTGACTTGAGGGGCACCTAACAACAACAACATTTAAAAAAAAAATTCACTGCAGGTGACTGGCTTCTGACTCATAGGACTCTACAGGACAGCGAACTGCCCTATAGAATTTCCAAGGCTGCAAATATTTAATGAAGCAGGCTGCCACATCTTCCTCCCTCAAAGCCGCTGGTGGATTGGTGGGTTCCAACCACTAACCGTTTCTGTTAGCAGCCGAGTGCTTTAACCATAGATCACTCAAAGCAATGGTGAGGGGCAATGGCAACTGGATTTGGATCTAGGATAAAACCGCTACAACTCTGTCTCCACTACGAGGGAAGTCATCCCGTCTCTGGACTTGTCTTCTAGATTAAAAAAAAAAAAATCCCTGCCACAGCAATCCACATCTGTCCTGCCTCCCAAGCCACACACGTGGCACTGAGGTGAGGGAGGGGCACCGGTGTGTGGGAGGAAACGAGGCTAAGGAACAGTGAGGAGGCGGCCAGGAGGATCCAGGAACAGAGGGCTGAACCAGAAGTCGGACGGGAACTACAGATGAGGACCCAGAAAGTGAGGAGAAAAGGATGGGGACAGCTAAGGGAAGTAGAGGCTCGTAAACTCCGCTACCCGTTAGAGATTTTAAAACATCGACGCCCAGCCGCACCTGGGCTGATTATATAGCATCTCAGGGGCTGGACCCGGGCATCAGGATTTTGAAAGCTCCCCAGATGAATGCAATGTCCCGCCAAGTTGAAGGACCGGAAGACCAGAGGGGCGGCGACGGGCAGCGAGGAGGAGCGCGAGTCCCCGGGGACAGGAGAGGCCGGGCACTAGCCTAAAGGCTCCGCCTTTTCCTGTGGACAAGGGGGCCGGAGTCCCCCACACGCGGCTCCTGCAGAGTCGCCCTCCTTCTGCGGCGGTGGCAGCTTCCGTCCATCGACAGGACGGGACGAGAGGCTGGCAGGGGAGGCGGAAGGCGACACGGGCGCCACGTTACCTGATCAGAGCCGCGACCCTCATGCTGGGCGCAGTGCGCGTGCGTGCGGCGGGCGCGGCGGGAGCCGGGACTGGCGC